AGTGATCTTGCTGATGTCCAAGTGGTAAGACAGTGTGAAACTTGATCTAGTTATTATGTGAAATGTCTATTCAGTTTAAGACAAAAACCCAACTTCCTCTGTCCTTAACAGTGTCAGAGGGGTTTCTGTTCAGTACTAAAGCCAAAATTTAATTCATGTGTCAATCAAGACATTGCAACACAGGAATATGAAACTACTCACAGGTGAGTAATTGTGTTTAAAGAGATAGGTGTGGAAAAGAAYACAGTAATTATTTCTGCAATTAATTACCTTGATACATAAAATTAGATTCTGATTTTAAGGAAGTCCCAAACAATCGGGTGAATTTTCTTTTGGTGCCACAGACATCAAGATTTCAGCTGTGCCTGCTGATGTGTTTCATCCTAGAAGCACGTGGTGTATGTGCAAGTGTGCCCATCCATATGCATGTTTGACACAGTTAATGTGCAGCTGTGTAACTCTGCCTCCATTATGCCTTGTTTGGCTCTGATCTCAAGAGAAGAGAATTAGCCTGCTCCTTGAACAACCTGAGAAAGTTAAATCTCAGTCTGGTTCATACCTATTCATATTGACAAACTGACCTTCTCTGTCATGCAGGGTTTCACATCTCCGCACCGTCATTAATGCCTTGCTACTCTCTGTATGTGTTATAAGCACGTCTGCTGGCTGTAGATTTTCTATACAAAAGACATACAAAATCCTGCACTTCAGAATCAGCTGCTTTATTTCCTTTAGATTTCAGCCTTAAGTGCAAGCTATGTACTGTGTATATGGAGTTATACAAATAACAAATGGATGCATTATGGCCATCTTTAACATCTATTATAGCAGTTTTTAAGCAGTTTTCTGCCCCTGTGTGATAGCTGTAGCTCATTTTCTTCCTGTTTTGATACTTTGGGAGTCTTGATGTTTGGCTGTCCATTTGCATGGTAAAAATGGTATGTGGTCTTAGAAGTAAATTAAATAAGGACATTATTTTGAGGTATTGTTTCTGGGAGTTGTGTCATCTTACATCTGCTGTGTGCCACRTAGCACTGAAGCATGGCAGTAGAGCTAGGGGAGGCATTTTGCTTCTGAGTGACCAGACTGTACAGACAGGCAACACCTAAATCCTCAGATTGAGCACTATTGTTAATTTTTCCAGCATGGAGACCATTCTAATATGCTATGGAGCAGACAGCAGGAGAATTTACAGTGGAAAGGTATTTTCTTCAGTCCAGGTGTGAAGTAATGGAACTGTGTACAGTCAGAAAGCAAGCTCATCAGATAAAGCACCCCAGAATCTGATTACACACTCAAAAAAAGTTTGTTCAGACTAGTGTGGCATAGAAAGGATGTCTGTTAGAATGGTTGGACATGCCTTCTCAAAGAAAACTTAAAGACTTCAGTCCTAGCAAGAGGTAGTTTGAGGTGGTTGCTTCTCTAGGACATGATAGGTCAAGGAAAGTAAGTGGTTAGGAGGAGACCTCTGCCCTGCAGCACACTTAGCAATGTCCTTCCAAGCATTGGTACAGTCCATCTTACTGTCTTGTAATCATCTCTGTCTGAAGCGTGTTGCTTYTATGTCTTTCAGATAATGCCTGGATAAATCTCTTCATCCTGCTCCGTCTTCTCTGCTTTTAAAACCTGCTAAAGTCTGGGATACTTAAATATATGGAGTTTCTTTGACTTCAAGTTTCTGTAAAAATAACCCATTCCTTTTCCTGAATAGACTCATGTCAGGGAGAAGGAATAACTGAAATAACACTATTGSTTAGCATTAGGACTGTTCACACTACTTTGATTTCTTTGTCAAATCCTGTCAGTCTGCCAGCAGCTACCCGGTAAATCCAACAGAACCAAAAGATACAGAATGTCATTGTATTTGTGATGGGTATTTTCTCATGTGTTGTACCAAGCATGGTTGTGGACATTAGGGGAGAAATTACTCCTCAACCCTTTTCGTTGATCATTTGCAATAATACACCAGTCTAACCAATGTTGCAAAATTAATCCTCTTTATATAATAGAAGCGAAACTGGACTAGCAGGGCCTTTAAGGTAAAATGATGATCTAAAATGTGTGGTCCATCCACAAAAGGAAAATTGCACCAATGTTGAGTCACGTTAAACCCTTGGGATATATGCTTTGGCTCCAGTTTTGCAAACAATTGAAGATGTACCTAACATCTTTGATTATTCAACAGCTCTTTTTCCTCCTGCRTAACTGATCTGCAATTTGTGGACTCGGGAACTGGTTTGTCACAACTTATTATGGCTTCTGAGCCTCTAGACCAGTTATCAGGTGGACCAAGTAGCAYGGGTGACCCGAGGAAGCTTTGTAGAAGTATTTGTGTAGTTGTAGGGARTTAAAGACAATGACAGCCATATAGTTCTGGAATTTTGATCTGTCCTGTGTATGCCTGAAAAGTGTTGATGTCTCATTCATAACAAAGGGAATGGAAGATTCTTCTGGTACTTACAAAACACGTACTGMTAACTTAGCTGCTGTGTGGAGCTATAATTATCAGAAGTATGAGGAAAAATCCTTATGTAGTTTTTCATTATGTGAAGGAGGCATAAGGAGGTAGAGTGAAGGATAAACATGGTGAAACTGTATCAGCAAGAATAGACCCTACTGCTGCTGTCAGAGTCAAGTGTCACATGGGTGAGTCTCCTCACACCTGTGCTGCTGTTCCCRGCTGCAGAAAGCAGACCTGGAGAGGTGAACAGGCTGGCACAGGTTCCCACACACACCTGTCAGCAGGTGGGATGGAGCTCCCTRCCATCTGAAAGTAGCTAGATGAAATGGGTTCAGACACTAGACATTCAGGAATAGTAGAAGTTAGTAGGCAAGAAAGAAAGAATAGAACAGGCTCACTGGTTTAACTGCAAAGTGTGGAATAACTTACAGATGAGGGAAAGGGAGTATGAGTAGTAAGTTAAAAAAGCAGCAGCAAAGCATCTAACCATGCTGACAAGTGTAAGTGAATGCTAAAACCTTGTTACAGGGTTTTTTTTTTAAAAGATATTTGTAGTACAGAGGTGTAAGACAGGCCACCTTAGTCAGCTGGTAGCACCRCCATGTAAGAATAGCAGGCTGCCCAAGGCAGTGATGGGCACCAGTCAGGCTTCAGGCTCAAGTAACTATGTCTTAAAAACAGTGCTTGTTACATTGTTTGTAATGTAACAAGTAGTAGTCCTGTTCACTTGGGAGTTTTCCTGCTGAGCTGCTTTTTTTGAAATGCAGATGTGAATGAACCTGACAATTTTTCCTCACCCTGTTCCTCCTTGCACTCATTTCTGGTATTTTTCTGGCCATCCTTGGAGCCAAGGATTTGGGGAATAGAATACAGCAAGACTGTGAATAAGACATTTTCRGGATATGCAGACTTTTGGAATACAAACTCCCCTATGTTTGCAGGGARCACCTTGAGTTGGTAGTCTGTCAGTCTGCTTAAAATCTCTTAAGAGCATAAAGGTGCTTATTTGGGTTTTTCAGGCAGATTGGGTTCCACTTCAATTTCATTAATTGCCTATTTAATTGTAGTTTATGTTGACTGAAAATAAAAGCTGATGATTTGTGGTCAGGCAGAGCTGATCCAAGAATGAAGTGAATAATAGGTTTTTTCCTCATTGGCATTCTGTGTAACTGAAAGGATTACAGCACTAATGGTGTGTGACTTAGGAAGCAGGAATTCAGTGCCCCTGTGGTGGTGAGTCCTAAGGGTTAAGGAAGAATTAGATAGGAAAACAGCTGCTCTATGTAAATATAAGATGCCTTGAGAATCCTGGCATTTGTCCTGTGACATAAGGTCTAGTTTAGCTGTGAGGTAGGATAACACCTCWTTAGATCTCAATTAAGGTGTTGTGTGGTGTATCTTCTGATCTTATTTATCAGAGTGTAATAAAAGCAAAAGATCTTTTTGTGCCCTTCCTAAGAGAAGATTAAATCAGTTTGAGGACCTCTGTTAGCAAAACTTTAGTCTTAGTAGGAAAAAAAACCTGTTCATAATAAAGACAGTGTCACATGGTGGCAGTGGTATTGCTGTAAAATTGCAGAAGTTAAACATTATGATGGAAAGCTTCTGTAAATGGGGTCATTCAGGCCATGCATTAATTTAGTGGGCAACACAGTTTGGCTTTCCTGTTCAATCCTAAAAGCATCCGATAGTTTTTCTGAGGCTTCAAGTTTCTGCAGGCAAGCATGTGTATATATTTGCCATGTCATTTTAAAGTATCATCATTCTTCACACCCTATTATTAATATATAGCTTTTTTCCCTCTAAATTTCCTGAGTTAACAGTTTTTTGGAAAATCATGGAAAGGAGAGCCATGGAAAGCTCTAATAGCACCTTGCTTAGCATTCAGAGTCTGGGTGTGTAACATTCATTTCTGAAGCAGTGACGCRTGCTGTGAAAAGACAATGCACTGTGGTAGCAGTGCTGCTTTTGCAAAATAAAACCAGTGCTTTTGTTCTTGGAGAGAAACCTTTATTGTGAAATTCTGCATGTAGACTCTCACAGAAGAGGTAAGTGAGAGGCAAAATAGGATCCAACTTCCTGTTGCAATACTGAGCCACAAATAATGTGCTAAGCACCATGTGCTGTCATGCAAGATGTTTTTCTCCTGGCTTGCCAATCAAATTAATTTCCATTAGTCATCTGATTCTGATTACTGAACATGGAATGGGTTTTTCCTAAATGAGATGTTCTCTTCAGAACAGAAGCTAGAGCTACAAGTTTTATGAGTGCTGAAATATCCATGGCAGTATTTCAAYTTTCCGCTCTTCATTGCTGAAATTCCAATACTGGAGCTCAGAGTACAGCTCACATGTATCATACTGTCAAGTCAGTAGATGACGATTTCTTCAGGGCCTTCATGGAAAGATATGTCATAATTTTGTTCTTTCATATATGCTGTATTGTCAACATGTTGCAGTGGCATTTGACATCACTGTGAATCCTATAATATACACTTTTATCTCTTTAGTTATTTGCTTGTTTGCTTTTCCCTCTGCAGTTCAGATGGGGAAAATGGAACAGATGAAAAAAGAAAGGCTGGAAAATCACCCATTGTGTTGCTRCAGACCCCTTCCACTGAAATGGAGTATTTTGATGACCGGAAAAAAGTTGACGTCGCTAGGTAATGTCAGAAATACTGTCAATTTTCTTCTAGTTAGATAACTGGATATAATTAGATATAAATAGATAATGGCTATAACCCACTTGAAAAACTAGACAGAGTAGCAGGGCACCTTCCTGGGTTGCTCTGTTGCCCACTGCAAGCAGTCACAATAAAATTTAGACTTTGAGCTGGCTTAGTGTCCCTGTTTAAGGAAAAAATATATTGCACTGTTTAGTCCACAGTGTGAGTTACATCCCCTTCATAATCAATTTGACAGGCAGTTTTAGTCCTGGCCTGTTTCCAGAACACTTTCCTGCTGGAATATTGATTGTCCATGGTAAAACTATGACATAAGTTTTCGTTTTTGACTCTCTGCTGTATATTACATCAGATTTTTTTAATGTCCTCACAAATACACTCATTCTTCTTTCGTTTGAGTACTGSAATGCATTTTAAATAGTTCTGAAAGAAGCTAAAATCCTGCTTGGATGGCTTGAACACAACCTTTGCATTGCTTTCATTTTGTCAACTGAACAGTCAGTGCAAAAGTCAATGTTCAGCCCGATACTGTGGGTTTGGTCACAAGGAAAATATTTTTTAAAAATCACTTAATTACATGAGGCAACTTTGAGGAAAATGTGTTTGAAGGAATAAGTCATCACTTTTTTTTTTTTTTTTTTTTTTTTTTTTTTTTTTTTTTTTTTTTCCCAGATTTTGCAGTCTTAACCTCTCAATACTGTAATTGACTGCATTTGGTGAAGGCATTTTTATCAGACCTACAATTTGTTTCAATTTTACCTGTACTTTACATAAGCACACAGATACATGTATTAGCTTTTTCTTCTGCGAGGGATCACCTGAGATGCAGCCAGTTTCCCTGCTGTCTAAATCAGTCTCCATAGCACTTAGAGTTTCTCTTCCTGTCACTGTTACAGTATTTACTGGAAACCCTGAACCTCTCAAGCTGAGGGAAGTAAAGAAGACTTGTGCAGGATATGATGCAGTAATGGAAACTTTTATAACACCTTTCTTTCCCTACTGTATCTTTAGTGTTTTTCAGTTCATTCAGTATGAGTCCTGTGTTATATTTTTATCTTTGGCTGTCAGTTTGCATCTGAAGGCCTCTGAGAAAGAGCTACTTAATTTTTGTAGTAAGTTGATGTGCATTTATTCTCTCTCCTCTTTCTGATTTGTGAAACAGTTGTACCACCTCTCTGTTAAAGTCCATGCCTTTAATACCTCCTGTATAAAACAGACAAAACTGATTTTCACAGCCATCCACAGAGAATCTGCTCTGCACTTGTTCTGTTTTASAGGTGTTTGAGGTTTTGTTTGGTTTTCCAGTATAAATGGCTGGAGCTGTACAAGTACAGCTACATATACAACTGGCATTCAGAATTCCATTTCATTTCCTGTAGAGTTGCTGGTTATCTTAATAATTTCATTACACTACACTGCACAGTTCATAGCCATCCTCTGACTTGTGCACCTGTTTTTCTTCTCTTTGGCACTTTTCAAATGAGTTCACATCTTGTAATACGAAGGTGGTTCTGTACGCYGCCTTCCACTTCAGCTACTAAGTTTTGTCTTATTTTATCTTGTATAGTAAGGAATATACTTAGTATCAGTATTTCACATGTTGCCCAGAAACAAATGTGAAGCTAAGCATTGTAATAATTCATTAAGTTGGAAAAACTTCTTTAACTTTTTTTACTTCCTTACAACTAGTAGGTTATTTAGAATATCCCTTCTAAATTCAAAGAAGACCCTTAGCAGACTGTCACAGTTTAAGAAAAAGATACACTCTTTATCTCTGCATAACTCTTGATAAATTAAATAAGTTGTCTATAAGTTATCCAAGGAACATCTAATATGTTCCATGGAAAAGCACATCCTGTTGGTAACTTACCAAGACCAATGAACTGAGGTCAGGTTTTTGTCAAATGCTTTAAATCTTCAGGACCAAGAGCAGCACAGATAGTCCAGTTTTGACAATCAAGAGTGACCTCAAGATTGAAAGGAAAAAACGTGCCTCAAATCAGGTAAGGCAGAGAGTCTACTTGTTTGCTTAAGTACCGTAAGAGTAAACATGTAACTATCATGAGATGGCTTTTGTTTAGCATTACTGTAGTTCATGGTTGTATAAGGACATAGGTTCCTTTTTCATCAGTGTTTTTGGGTCTGGATAAAGGATGATACAGACTTAATAGCCACATAGAAAAAGATAAGGATTTATTGTAAAATAAGTGGGCAAAATGGGAAGGTGTGGGGAGGACAGAAAGTGGAGGAGGTCACTTGGTTGTCAGACTGTCTAATTGTGTGTTTTGGGTGTGGGGCTTTTTGTTTTCTAGCTGAAGGCAAATGCACATTTTCATAAGCTGTTTCTAGATGTTCCCATTGATGAGCCACTGAAACAAAGTAAGTATTAATCCCCGTGTTTTTGTTGGCCATGGATCCTAATTAATGTTGTTTCCTAACAACGTTGTGGTATACAAGAGGAGCTACCTAAATTTTAAAAACCTTAACTCCAGTTGCATAGAGCTATAGGGCCTTGATCCACATGCAATGGGCATTTTGTTTTAATCTTGGAAAACTTATATGTTTGCATGTTCAGTATATTGGAAATTGTAGCCCATTTTGCCTTTCTTTGGAAGTAGCCTAATTTTTTTTTTAGTACTGAATCTTCCTTACTAAAGACACTACTTGGGACARCATTTGTCAAGTGATTCGCTTGAGTTTTTGCTGTTGATGATGTTTTAAAATTGAAAAATGCTGATAGGAAAAGGAATATTTAAACGTTTAAATATTTGTACTATTGTCTGTGGTTCTTATAACAAAGGAATTCTACATAGACATGTATAGCAAATGAAAGAAATACAGGGAAGGTGGTTCATGAGTGAGAAATGGTTTGCTCAGTGTCTGAAGTAAAAGCAGTGTTGCGCTACATGTGTTGTGCCTCTGTTGTACATCTAGTTTAGACAACTACCATAGAGCTAGAAGTTTAAAGATAAAATCTTTCATTAAACTCTCTACATTTAAGTTATGCACTTACCTAGAAATTAGTAGAAAGTTTATAGGAGAATATAAAGCTAGGCAGTAGTCTTTTCTGAAAGACTTTTCACCTTTGGAGGCCAGTTGCATGTTACTATTCATTTTATTAATTTCAGTTGTTGTCCTTCGAATATTTTGAGGCTAAACTTAAACCCATGACATCTTCTGAGCTTGTCAGTATTAGTTAAATTTACTGCAAATTCTGAGGTTTGGCAATGTTTATGAAAAGAATTAAACCTAAACATATCATGACTTTGAAAAAAGWACAAAGCAGAAGCCAAATTGGCTTGGTTTGGGTTGTGATTATATTAAAGATTATAGCATATCTCTTTGTTTCAGGCTTTACCTGTGCTCTGCAGAAAGAAATTCTATACCAAGGAAAGTTATTCCTTTCTGAAAATTGGATTTGCTTCCATTCCAAGGTTTTTGGTAAAGACACTAAGGTTAGTAAAATCGTTATGTACAGAACAATAATGCTATTTGTTGCAATCTGTTCATCACCAGAAGTTCAAAGTACTGTGCAAGCCTAGAATATTAGTACTTCTAAGTTTTATCGAATGCAATCACTATTCATAAGTGATGTTTGAAATTCACTGTAGAACTGAGCACTATTGTCATTAGAGATTTAGTCTCTTGTTTAAGCACTTTGTATCTCAAAGAAACAAATTAAAGTGCAAGTGAGGGCTTGTCAAATGCATGTAGCACAAACTGCAAAAATGTTTCTCTTGGGGAAAATACTTAAAAGAGGAGGAGCAGGAGACAGAAGAATGAAGGCTGAAAAGCATTAAGGACTCGAAGGCTATAGTTTGGGAACTGGAGAGAAGTATAAAGCATATTAAAGGCAGTTAAAGAAGAAAAACTAGAGAAAAAGAGGAACTAAAACTGGCTTCTGACTTGAGTAGCAAAGATCTCTGAAGGATTCTTCTAGCACTCTCATTTTGCATAAATAGAGGACAGGAAAAGAAAAACAAGTTGGCAGGGTTTTTGCTTGTGAGCCTAGTATGCAGAGCAGAAATGAGATGTGAGCTRTTGGGTGGATCATAAATTAGTGTGTCTTGGTGGCCCACCTAAGGCTTAATACCCTTAGTGGTGAATGGTGCGCGTACAGAAAAAACAGAAGCTTTGCAAAGAGATTTGGTTCTATTGATTTAGAGCTTTTGGAGTGCACTTTGTTTACATACTCTGCTTTGGTTTTGACCTCTTTTGGGGAAACATACAGATTTTCTTCAAGGATTTMTTTGGCTTCTTTCTTTCAGGTACGTCTTTGAACAAAGTTCCTGGTTAGATCCAGGGAACTGAATTCTGAAAGTGGCTTAGGGGTTGAGATTGTCTCATTCCTCTGCTATCAAAAATTTTTATAGAATRCCATCTGTTTTTAAAGGGCTTTAAGTAAGGTGCAGTAGTTTTAAAGAATTCTTAAAATTATTAACAGCATGTTATCCCTAGCAATTTTAAGGGTTATTGTGTTTTACCACTTGGCCCAAGATTGTTGTTGATTCTTAGTTAATAGATTCTGTTAGTCATCGACARTACTTTAATGTCGATGGTGTGTATGTTGGTAAAAGCTATGTGACATGAAAATTAACATCTGGTTGAATACTGTGATTCAATATTAGTAGCATCTATCTTAGCAATTTATTAAAATTGAAGCTGCTGTACTAGCAATTTTCTGTTCAGCACGAASAAATGTAAATACTTGAAGCTGTAACTACTTTAAACAGCTCTYTAAAATCACCTAAGCTAAATGTATGCAAGAAAATGGTAGAACTGTACTGAGTAGAAAAACTTGAAATAGAATGATGATGATGTAGTACTAGGAAATACCTTTGTCAACAGGTGTTTAAATGCAGGAATGTGTGCATAGTTACATATATGCTGAAAAATGAAAATATTTTACAAGATGGGGTAAAATAAACACTATTTGCAAATGTGATTATAGCAGTATTGAAAATTATTCAGTTCTGGGTCTTATTTTTAGAAAACATTGAGAGCAAAATTAAGAGTGAAGGGGATAGCCCTTATCATTTACYTACAGCTTTGTTCAGCTTTTGGGAATCCCGTAAAGAAAAAAGCAGGAAAATCAGGGATACAGTGAAAAATGATGTAGTGGGAGGGGAAGGAGGAAATCAAGCTGGAYAGGAAGAGTCTTAGCAGTCAGATACACTGACAGTTTCCAAGATGCAAAGACTCTGTTGCTTAGAACTTGGAAAACCTCTTAAGCTTAGGGAYAAAGTGTTTTATTATGAGAAACAGCAGATTTACACACTCCAGTAAATTTTTGAGAAAAATTCTACCTGGAGATTTTTTTTTTATTGAAAGCTTTTGTGCAAGGGACATTTATGCAAATCAGGATGTTTGAGTATGCCGTAAAGACACTGCATATTCAAAACTAAAAGATTGTTTCTGCAGGATGGAATAGGCATTGACAGACATCACTTTCTTTCTAGATGGCTCTATATGTGTTGACAGTGAGTCTGTCTGGGATTTAGACATCATCTTACTCTTTTAAATTACTTTCTAAGTTTCCTGCAGGTAAACCTTTTATTCTGAAATAATTATTATTCCACATAGATTCTACTATTTCAATCTAATGTTGTGGGAACAGTGCAAAAACAAATGCTTAATGCCACTGAAACACACTTAAGTATTKATTACAGTAATGTAATATTGTCCATCAATAATATGGATAATATTATTCTGCACACAGAAGAATGCTGTTAACATCTCTGATTTTAAGTTCTTTGAGGTGAATTGTGAACTGAACCAACTAGAAAAATTGTAAGCTGCATTTTTTTAGCTTGTAGCAGGATTTCTGTTCAAATARTTTTGGACAGTCTTGAAAACAAACTTTTATACACAAATATATGTATTTTTTTTACCTGGAGCAATTTTTCATTTCATGATTTCGTGTTACCTTTGTGAACAAAAGTTAACAAGAAATTGCATGGAGTAACTTCAGTCTCCTCTAATGACATGTTTTTGATTCAGTGCTGTGACAGCTAAKTGAACAATTTATGAACACTTTTAACCTTGCTTCCAAGTTTCTTGGGTAGTTGTGACAGCCTTTGCCAAAGGTATTTTTAACAGSATCTGTTTCTTAATCATGTGTATCCAGGATTATTATATTTGCCTGATTCACTAAACCTCTAAGCTTTTCAACTGATTATCTACAACCCCTTTGTAACATGGGGTTTACAGGAAGAGCCCATGCAGAGCATCTGAAGTAAAATACTCTGAAACTTAGCAGATGTTAAGTTAATGGGGTTGGATGTAAACACAAAGCAGGAAGGAAAGTTGAGAACTTTCGAATGTAAATGTAGACTGCCTGGTTGGCATACATGTGAATCAGCTGAAGTCAGCAGGTATGTGGGTATTGGGTCATTCAACATTGCTGAAGGATGAGATGTTTACTCACCTTTTTGTTTGCAGATCTGTAAGTGGTGAGAAGACTTTTATGTTCATTTTTGAACGAGCTTGTGTTATCTGATGTGTTCKAAAATATTTGGTTTCTAAACAAAGAAGCATAGCTATAAGAGTGGTTTGTTTTGCTGATCTGCAGTGCATTAAGGCTATGGTCTTGTGAGAGCCAGAAGGGACCAAGAAAGGGAAACACAAACAAAACCCGGGATTARCATTTTATAAAAGCAGAAGTAAAAGTAGTTATGAAATGCAATAATCTGAAACCATACCTATTTCACATGAAATAATAGTAATCAGAAATGTAGTGGAGGAGTCTTTAAATGGCAAGTGCAGAAGATCTGGCTTATCCCATAGCTGGGCTGGSTCCTCGGGAGACAGCATGGTGCAGATATGTGCACCATGAGTATTGGGATTCAAATGCTACTTGATCTTGTTTCAGATTAGTATACCTGTGCTGTCTGTGACACTTCTGAAGAAAACCAAAACTGCCCTTCTTGTGCCAAATGCTCTGATCATAGCGACAGTGACAGATAGGGTAAGTACTGGTAGAGGACATTGGTATTACAGTGAGAAAATAAAAACCAGAATTCTGTTTGCCACCTGCTCTCTGTAATCTTTCATTTCTTGTTTTCYAAGATTTCATAGCACCAGATGATCTCTGAAAAGGCTGGGTTGGGAGGTTCATGCACAGAGGATTACCTTCCTTGTTGGCAGCTCTGTCAGTGTTCTTCATTTACTTGTATCTCTTACATAACCAATCATACCATAGGCACACAAAAAACTATTGCTTACAGTGCTATTCCAGAATAGTAATTGCATCAATCAATGGGAAATGGATTATCCTAAGAGCAGCTTTGGAAACAACCCATTTTCATTGTAGTATGGCAGGAAAGTAATGTGTGGGTGCAAGGGGACTGTACATAAAAGCAATTTTGGGCATTAGTTTGTTTGGGTTTTTTTTTAAGGATAGGTGAAACAAAGCATGCAAAGTGTTTTTAAAAGAAACAACAGATCTGGATTATGCTCTGGTTCCTGCATGAGAACACGGTAACTTTTATGTGCCTGTTCTGTGATCGTGTGATTAACCTCAAGTAGAAAGCTTAGAAGGACCTTAGGCTTTTCCTGCCATACAATTCTTGAAAATAGTTACTTGATCTGCAAAATSAGCTATCAGTTTTATTTTGATAAAAGGAAGCTTGTACTGTATGCCTTTTCTTAAACAGTTGTGGRACTTTTGTTTTTCAGTACATGTTTGTCTCATTACTCTCCAGAGATACAACCTACAAGCTCTTAAAATCTATYTGTAGACATCTTGAGGTGAGTACTCTTGTGGCAGTGAAGATTGTATGTAGCTTTGTGTTCATTAGTATTGCTATCCTGCTGAATGCTAGGTACTCTCTGCTTGTGTTCCTTGTTAACACTGCTGCTTTTTTTTTAGGATACAAGCATGGGCAACAGTCCRAATCCCTCTTCGGCAGAGAACAGCTTCAGGGTTGATCGCCCTAGAACTCTGCCCCTGGTAAATGGTTTAGAAGTTTGTTCATTTGTTGCATGGTATCTTTCATTGCAAGTTCTATTTATAATGCCTGAAGAAAGGAAACCAAAGGAAATCATGACATCTGTTTCAAAAACTTCCATGCATTTTTAACACTAGAAAACAGTGGGAATAATTAGCATAATTATCTGGTGACATGCAGTTTGTATATGTGCATATGCTTTTGATTTATTAATCATCTGTGTGTTCTTCATATCTCTGTGTGGCAGTCACCTTTCATTGTGCTGACATAAAGTTGCTTTATCCTCTGCCACAAACAGTTTTCAAAGTGTTTGTAGTAGCAAACCTTCCTCTGTAAGCCAGTTCACTTATCTGAAAGRGTTGTGAAGTCACATGTGATGCCCAGAGTCTAAGTCTATTAATGCTTGTTCCAGACTTCATAATTTGTCTGACTTAACAGTCTTTCTTTTAGTCAAGGCAGGGATGAGGCTTGAATTCTGGTGATTTTATGGAGCTTATTTTTTAATTTGATCTCAATATCTTGATACCAGAGATTGCTCCTGCTTGAACAGCTCTAAAGCTTTGACTTTTGGTTTAGATTCTAGAGGAAGGTCAGAGGAAATTAGATTGCTTAGATTTAGAGCAGGGCCAAGCCTTTTTGTGATTTGTTCTCCCCATCAGGATTTCAATGAAGATTACTCTGATCTGGATGGAATAGTGCAGCAGCGAAGACAAGAGATGGAAGAGTCCAGCAGCACAGGCTCACAGACACCAGAGCTGGAATGCTTCCAGGGTGAGTGGGATTATGGAGCCCCAAGAGAAGGAGAATGGAGTAGCTCTCAATTTAGCTTTTTGTATCCCTGATGTGGGATCCACATGGAGAATTAGGTGGATTTTGAGGTCTTCCTTAAGCCCGCAATCCCTACATTTCTGTTACTTTATCCCTCTACAATCCAGACTCAGGCAATKACTTGGTCATCAGAAGATCTAAATTGTCACTACTGGTTCCAGTGGCTTAGCCATTCAAGCAGATAGAATGTAGGAGCCATTCATCCTTTAAAATTCAAAAGAACAACAAACAATCAAAACCCATTCTAAAGTAGTTCAGGTCACAGTGCAACTTCTTACTTGTACAAATAACATTCTGTACTTATTTTATTCTTTGCAGCTATTTAGACACTGTCAAAGTTGTTCTTTCTTTAATTGCTTTTTTTAATCTCCTATTGTCTCCTATTCTTCAGCTAATTAGCAGCCATTCTGACTGAAACTCACTACATAGAAGTTCATGAGTACAGCAATACTTGTTTTATGTAGCTCATGCTGAATGTTATTTGAAAACCTAGAGTATTCTGCTGTACAATTAAGATGATAGTATATTGTTATGCTATTACTGCGCTGGGTTCCATCTTGACCCTAATTTGTATAAGAAACTCTTGAAAGAAACTCATTTTTTTACAGCAGTTTTCTGTCATGTTATTTTTYATTAACTCTCCTTTTTGCTCTSTGTCTTGTTCAGCAGGACGATTTGCTTTCACTGATATTTGATRTTTACTGTGTATGTGTTTTTAATTGTGTGGTGCAGTTCATGAAGCTGTAACTGAATTGTGGTGTCTTCACATGCCTTAAAAGTGCTTCTGAATAATGGCTTAGTTTACTGTCTTATTCCTGTCAAACCCATTCAATTTTCTTTTTTCACAAATCAAAACCAATATCCAGGTAAAGAACCATCCTAGGAAAAAGGAATTGAAGGTAGGGGTGGAGGATAGCACATCTGTTACTCATGGTTTTTTCTTGTGCATCATTAGAGTAAGTCCAGGATAAGCAAATAGAGTATAAAACTGAGTGTGATTAGATTTTTCTGTCCTATTTCTTTCAAGATATCATTGGCATTTTTCAAGATGGTCAGGAAAGAGAGTCGTAATGTCCTTTATAAAGTGAAAATTCATTACCCCTATTTGAAGTTGCTATTAAAGTAATTTGGAATCATTAGTAAATTCAGGCCTTTTGAGAGATGACTTTTGTGACTATGTAATCTTCTGCCTGGAAATTCACTAGTAGCCTTCAACATTTTCATGGGTTGCCATCTTTCAAAAGATCTGGAAATATAAATGCAACATACATCATCTTCTTTTAATCTAGGTGCTTCTTTTTATTTTGCGTTGATKTGAAATTAGTATGTAAACTATTTCAAGGCTACTAAACCAACTGCTTGTTTTTACTTAAAACTACAGATACGCACCTTTTAAAATCCTCCTCTTCCTCTGTTTTTTGACCAACATAAGCTCTCAACAATTTCCTTTGGTTTCATATTTCAACTTCATTAAAAATCTTTCTTTTGACAGATTATCATGTTGTTGAAACASAGACTCACTTGAAAGTGTCCAAGCCTGAGGCCAAGTCTGTTCGTTCAGATGTACATAGTAAACATGGGCCTGATGGAAAAGCCCGAAACAGTCTTCGAAATGGTAAGAAATCAAGGCCACATCGTCTGATGGAGTAATTTGAGATAAGCTTGCAGAATTATATCAGTTCACATCATTTGGAAGATCTCTTTCTTGTTTATCCTTCTGTTTCCATTATCTGTTGTATACCTCAAAACACTTCCCAAGAATTTAATAATTCTGTGGTCTGGTCTGGTCAAAGTAACACTTGTTTTTCTCCCTTATAGGCCATTCTGAAGCTTTCAGGTTCCTCCACAAAGTGAAGTCCCAGAAGCTCTTATCTCTGAACCACGTACTTGTATTTTATGCAGTTCTGTAAGTTAGCAAAACAAGATTGTCAAAAACTACCRTTTTCTTATGTTAACATGATTGATATTATGTAAGCATGATGGATATAATCTACTCTTTACTTGAAAAAAGGAAATTATTGGGAATTGCAGCCTTTACACTTTCCAAAAGTGTGTATATACCTATATACACTTGTATATATGTATATCTATATGTATATACAAATATGTATGTAAGCCTGCTGGGGCAGGCTTACTTAACTGGGCATTAACTTTTAAAAGCAAAGGATCTTTGGRTTCAGAATATGTTAAAAGTATTTAAGTACTTGCAGGTTCCTTTTGCATGTGTCRTGGTTTGGAATGCTGGCCAAAAGCCAGGCACCCACAACACCTGCTCATTCGCTCTCCCCCMMCACCACACTGGGTAGAGAAGAGCGAAGGGGAAAAACAACTAACAAAAGGGTTCATGAGTTGAGATAAGGAGCAGGGAGGAAACACTTGATGGACAAAACAGGCACTAMTTAAATTATCAAGTGAATTTACTATAACAAAGTCAGAGGAGGAGAATAAAAAATAAAATACAACCCTTAAAGACACCGATCTTCTCCCCACTCCCTCCTCCCTTCCCACCAACTACAAAGCAGCAGGAAC